TCTGTTCCACATAGTTGAGTATCGGAAAAAGAAAAACTGAAGTAGGTTAGTGAAGGTGCTCGTAAACGATAAAATATCCTCCTTATTGCATAGGTTGTGGGATGAAATAATAGAATACGAAGGGGTCGATGCCAAGGAATAAGAGATACCGCTTATAAGCCGGTAGACAAAGAAGAGATCTAATTTGATACGCCTGATCTAGATAGGTTCTAACTTGAGTTGTTGACATCGAGGGTGGTGATACATGTTGTCGGAATACCCCAAAACAGCAATAGTGAGTGTTCTTTCAACATTTGTAATGACAGTGGGCCCCAACCACTCAATCCTTGAGGACGAACGCGAGACAACTGAGAAAAATATACTCAACATTTAACGCGGGGAAAAACACAACGATAAAGGAATCGGGAGGAATAAATTCAATAAATTCAAATTTATCGAATAGCATGGCTCTACCTTGTAGGCGTGATCATTCTTGAGTAGCCTATACCTTTTATTCATTTTAAATATACTGTTCTAGCTCCGGCCTAAATATGTTCATCATATATTGACGACTGTTATGATACGATGAGTTAGGGTAGACGGTGATGTGACTTCCACATAAAACCTTATAGATTAGGCAGTTACATCACTACAAATCTACAGTTTTAGGATTAAGTCCATTATCAGAGCGGTACTAATAACGAAGTAGATCACAATTTTACCAGGTTACCAAGTGAGAAACTCTACTCCACACATAAACATTTGTTTATCTTTACAAAAGGAGTGGTGGCATTTTCCCCTGCCAAGTGAGTCTTTTGGTTATGATTGTGTCCTAAGGTGTAAAAGCTTCGCCTATAATTAGTTAGGTTGATTTTTCAGTGAAGGTCTCAGCCTTTTGTTTTCGGTACCTATCACTTTAAAAGTTTGAGAAACACTTCAAGAAATTAGTTTTGACTTTTTCAACATCCAAAGAGTAACTTCCTGTTGTTCTCTCCGTGACCTCGCCTAGCAATTTTAAAGGCACAAAGCAAACATCGTTATGGCAGATTTACGTTTTTTTCCGATTGATGGTGGAATTCAATGTGACTACTGCAACGAGTGATATAAAAACATGTGCACCACACTTACATCAACCACATATAAATGTTGTTTCAAGGCACTACCACTTTGGCTGTGTATGTGTGCTGCTTTACAAAACCTCTGATGACTCTTCAGCTGCTAACCACAGCTAGAACGACTAGCTCCGATAAACAGCCAACAGCAGATTAGCAGCTGTCAGATTTCAAGGAAGCAGAGAGAGATGCCATGAATCTAGATACGAATCTGAGTGAAACCATTAAGTTGAACCACTTCAGGTCAGTAGGAGTGATTATAAGGAAAAGGAAATAATACGCAATAGTCAAGTCGCAATGATCTCGACAGTTTCAGTTACATATATCTTTAACAACGCAAACCGGACCATACAAGAAAGAAGCCGAGTCATTGCAGAGGATTTGGTCAGGAAACAAAACAAAGTCGGTGATTTGCCTACGGTAGAAACAAGAAAATTAAGGGGAAAAACGTAGCGACCTATATGGCTGTTGCTAAATCAGACTGCAAGAATGGTAAACGTTTAAGACAAAAAACCCCATGCTTGTTCAAGAGGATCATGCAGAGATATTGTTCAACTTTTGCAAGAGTCTTTCAAAAAAGAAAAAAAATGTTAGGTCTAGGTATGTGATGGTAAGATTCAGTTGCTTGGTTTCTTGCTTTGAAAGGCTGGCAGACTAAACAGCGAGGGTGGTGGGGTTTTCGTGTACATGACTAACACCTCAACCATATGAGCTGTCGATACAGTAGCACACGACTCCGGGAAATGTGAACCGTTGTGTCGACGGCTACAATGTAGAGGACAATATGTTGAATTAGTTGCAGTATATCACAGTCAAGAATGTGTAGTGGGTGACTTCCCCCTAAATAAATTTAAATCCTGGTCAAACGGGCGTAAAAGTTCGACAGCATTTGTTTTATTGACCCCTTGTAAATTAGGGAACCTCAGAAGTGGGGTCATCAAAAACATCGTTCGATTACAAATTGTCAGATATCGCAGTCACCCTAGCTCTATTCCAGAAAGTTAGAGATCCCACCAGATATGACATATAAAACTCTTCATCTCTCTTGAACTTCGTCCTCACACTGAGTGGTGATGCTAATTCTATTATGTTCCTCTCACCTGTAGGGAGAATCCATCATGCTGTCGTCTTATTCAAATTCATGGCTGAAGTGGTCTGTCAGACAGTTGCGCCAGCCCTTCCTAATGTATGGAAGGCAGACATATAGGCGATCAACTCTGTAGCATCGAAGGAAAACTGGAAAATCGACTTCGAAGCATCAGTAGAGGAGGATTAGGCTCACTCCCAGGAGTTATACAATCAAGGAACTCAACTATTTATACAGTGCCGAGGAAGAAAACGCACGACTAGCTCGGAATAAATATTTGACGTTTCTTATGACAAAAGAAAAAACATTTGGCACGTCGCCATCAACCTTAGCACACCGAATACGATGAAACGCTATAGGTCGATCTAAAACAAGAGTATAGGCACCTCACGGGCAGCTCAGTCAAAATCTGAAATGCAGTTACTCCAATTAACAATCAGACAGCCAGAGAGACTGTTCTCGTATATAAATTACGGAACAAGAAGGCATCATTGGATTCCCAACTCAATTACTGAAGAGCGTTTATCTCAAGTGAAAGACGAAGACCAAGACAGAGCAGACCCCTTGAAACTATTTTGGGACAGTTTCCACTCAAAAGCTTCTTGTTAACGAAGAACTAGAACCAGATACAAAGTCACGAAGCTCTAAGAGCTTTTAACACTTAAGACTCCGAAAAATAAACAGGGCCGGATGAACCACAGTCAAAAGACCTGAGATTAATTTCGGAATACACTTCTGCCCCTCTAATTACCATATTTAATAAGTAAATTGACCAAGGTGATTTACCTAAGGGTTTGGAGAATACGACCCTCACTCCAATACATAAAACAGAATCAAGACGACTTCCATTAATCTGCAGACCAGTCAGCCTTGTCAGCGTTGTAGTTAAAATACTGGAAGTAATAATCAAGAGGGTTATAATCACACTCGTAAAAACGGACAACTAGTGAAACAGAGAACAGTATGGTTTCAAGAAAGGATAATTTTGCACAACAAACCCCATACGACAAGAAAGAAATGGACACAATTTCTAGTTAGTGGGAAATCGGTCGACGTTGTCTACGTTGACTTCGGTAAATTATTTGATAAAATACTGAGAAAAAGATTGTTCATATAGCTGGAAAATCTAGAAGTTGCTAGGCGTCATGTAAAGTGGATAAGAATTTATTTGTAGACTGCAGACGGAAGGACAGAATGAATTCCAAGTGCTCTTTCCGGAAACTGGTACTTAATGGAGGACCACGAGGCTCTGTCCTAGGTCCTTCACCTCTTTTCTGTATGTAAATGAACTTTTAAATATAACTGTCTTCAATGCCACTATACACTGATGATGTTAAAATCTGGCGAGAAACAACAGGAGACGTAGATCCATGTGCGCTACAGGTGGATCTAGATATTCCTGCGATCTGGTCCACAAAATGGCAGATGCCTATCAAAGCGACTAATCCTGCATTAACCTTGGAGATATACATAAACAAACACAGCATAATAGGAGAGTCGATGCCTGCAGTTTTGTTTCGCAAGAAGCTTGAGGTGATAGTCAGGAAAGATCTTAGGACAGCAGTCCACTGCCTCGAGGTCACAACCATAGGTTTATAACCATATGGGCTTTAAGGCGGACACTTATCAAGCTAGGTATTAATATATTTACTACAATCGATACGATCTTAATGAGGTCCAATCTTGGAAACTGCTTCCAAGCCTCAAGACCCTTTTTAGGCGGTGATCCATACATCTTGGAAAAAGTACAAATTGTTGTCACCTGGGTTATTCCAGAACATTGGGGTTTACCGAGAAAAGAGCGGCTTCGGAAGATAGACCTCTTCGCCATGTCCTTACGCAGGCTAAGAGGTTATTTGAATTCGATGTATAGAATACTTAGTGATACAGGATACACAAGATATAAGGGACATAATATATAAGACACACAAATTTGTCTCTGTTTCAACACTAAGAGGAAATATTCCTGCACTATGAAGAGACAGTACTACGATGTAAGGATGATAGCTTAGAACTCCGAAATGACCTGAAGAAATTATCCAAATGGTCTTAAACCTAGCAGCTGTCGATAAATACTTTCAAGTGTGTTGTGATGCATATCGGTCATCAAGGTACCGATGCATACACGATGAATAACACTGAGCTACCTGTCGTCCAGACACATAATGACTTAGAAGTCATCGTCAGCCAAGACTTAAAGACTACCACACACTGCCATGCAATATCCGCCAAAGGTTTTAGAACCTTATGGTCAATACGTAGGGCTTTTATTCATGCAGACGCTAAAACGTTTTTGAGTTTGTATACAGGGTTCGTAAGTCATAAATATGAGTACTGCATACGAGCGGCTAGCCCCTGCAGAAAAAGACAGTGTGCTTCTGGAAAAGGTTCAGAGAACAGAAACTAAGCGGATTCTCTGAATAGCGAAGCTCCCGTATGATGCTTGAGTGGCCAAGCTGAACCTTTTCTCGATGTCATATCGAAGAACTAGAGGCGGCTTGATTACAGTTTTCAAATTTCTCAGTGATAAATTTGCACCTGATATGCCATAACTTTTCTTGTCTTCCAGAACAGAGAATTTACGAGGACACTCAGTTAAAGTTCACAAGCCCAGAACAAATAACTTTTCAGCTGATTGTCGACTTTTCATCGAATCATTAACGAGTGGAATTCATTGCCTCAGCACGTGATTGAGGCTCCATCCGTCGACTTTTTCAAAACAAAGTTGAACCAAATGAGAGACCAGGACTAACACAGGCCATCAAGTCTCCTGTCCCTCATAAAATGAAGCTGAAACTAAGATTCTAGTCGCGGGCATTACAATGTTGTCGTTACTACGGTTAGCACGGTGTTCGTTCAGTAGTGGCTTCGTAACGTCATTATCACGATCCCTTAGTGGTCAGCCGAAGAAATGGTACTTAGTTTTTTCATTCGCATTGTGATTAAGATGAAGTGTGAATATCACATTCTCTTGGAAGAACGGTCGTAATAAGACCGTATACGCCAAAATAGGCGATAACTTATTGGACGTTGTGTTAGATAATGATGTTGATATTGACGGGTTCGGTATGTTGCCTTACATATATAATCAGGTATCTAGGCGCTTGTGAAGGTGCATTAGCGTGCTCAACCTGTCACCTCATCTTTGCCAAGGAAGATTTCGATAATCTGCGTGATCCCTTAACGGAAGAAGAACAGGATATGCTAGATTTAGCTTATGGCTTGACTGACACGTAGGTTTCTCATTGTTATGGCACACGTAGAACTGCAATGTTCATAAATATAATTTTTGTCCTATCCAAAATGTACTCAAGATAATCAAATGTTGATGTGAGACTAATTTATGGACGACCTTTGGGCAATGCTAAATTAACCTTAAGAGTGTTTACCTAATAACCAGGACTAGATGATGGATATAAACAGGTGTGGGGAATTAGAGTTAGGATATACAGTTGATGGTTAATGTTCCCGAGCTCCCAATTTTGGGGAAGCCGCTACGTCAAACTTTGAGTAAATGGCACCATTTATTTATTTATCTAAATGGCACCAAAACCCCGAAATTTCCCCAGACCTGGGCAAATTTCCACAAACTTAAGAGATTAGGTTAGGAATTAGATTTAGGGTTTTCATCACAAACGTACATCAGCTATAATGCTCAAACACCATTTAGTCAAATGGATGAAAGAATTTTGCGCTAAAATCCAAGACCTGTTTGTATATGATTGGTTCGTCTATAAATTGTAGTCTTACTGATACTGACCTAATATATATTCAAAAAGATTATTGAGTATACAATTTTAAGTTATCTCAATACAATTTTTCGGTATTAGATTAGTGTTTCTGCGTAATGACAGTATTCTTAACTGGCTTCGTGGAACATGTCAGTTTAATTCAAGCTTAGTGGAAAAATGAAAAGCAGTTTAAGATTACTTCCATCGGAGTGTGATTGAAGAATTGTGAAACATGTGGGTACCCAAATGCTTTGTCACAAATTCGAACTTTGCTAAATTCGTCGAGTGTCATTCAAATCACTTGCTAGCTTCCTACACATTTGGTCTTTTTTTTCAGATCACGATTAGGTTGTCAGGTCAAAGTCAATGAGGACATGGATGGTATAGTTGTGAACGTTCCAGAGTCAATATACGATGCCCGTGCGTAGGATAGTGTAAGTTTTTGAGTATCATTGCCAGAGTTGAACTTCATAGTTTCAAATAAATTGAGCATTCGTTAGAACGTTGCTAATATAATCACAGTTCATTGTTATATCTCAGTAATTGAAAGTTTAAATCTCTGACATTTCGTTATTTACTTTAAGCTATTTCTTCAGATTAAATGAATAAATAACCCATCCAAATTAACACAAGCTTAAATCGTAAAAAAAGAAGTGTAGACATTTTAAACCTAGTCACCTTTTTGAATTATTGTGATATTTCTAATGTCGATTCGGTGGTTATTGGAAATAGCATGTACTAATACTGTTGATTTAGTTTGTAGATTTTCCAGCTCTGCAGAGTTATTAAAAGGGCCTTTTATGTAGGTCGGGTGTTCCGTGGCATAAGTTTAAGTTTCTTGAGAAGGTTCTTCAATCGATACAACCTAATCAGTAGAAAACGTTTTGTGTGAATGTAAACGGTATCTTTTCCTTAATTAAAGCATTTCATAGAGTGTTGGCTGATTTATAAAAAGTTTTAACTGTGTGTATTCTCAAAATGAGTTGTAATTGTTTTGATGTACTGTGGCATTAAGTTAAAACTACTGTACTAGTCCAGTATATTTCACTAGAATTCTTATTTAAAGATGGGTCGCTTCGTCTTGATATATTTTTAATCATATTCAGAAAATCGTTAAGTCTTAAAATGTTTACTGTGTCCTTTACCCTTAGCTTCTCTTGGTAGGTGGCTGATTTTCCTTCATTTTTTTTGGAAAAATGGTGCTAAGTTTGCATTGTTTCCTTTGTTTCATATATAGATTGATATTCGTTCTTCAGCGTCAAATTCTATCGGACTGCCCTTTAGAAGTTAGTCTTCGAAGCGCTTTTAGGAATGTGTAAAGTTCAATTATCTGAAGATTGCGTGTTAAACATCCACCGTACTTACCTGATATTTTGTCACATATACACTTGTTGTAACTGTTTAGGTAGTTTTCGGGTTGCATTTTATCGCTATTATTATTTATTTTCCTATCTACAGTCTATTTGTAATTAGTGTTTCATTATTCAACTGTTTAAGACCTTTTTTTGTATAGAAAACTTAATAATAAATAAACCTTTATAGACAGGGATTTCTGACTTTTTTTCTTCCTTTTTGGTTGTATATATTGCTACGTTTTTGTTATTTATCTAATTGTCAGTGAATTTGTTCTTACCACGTTGTCATAAAATTTGCCTAGTGCTACTCTCTACGTGTGATACGTATGTATTCAATGTAAGCTTATCATTTTGTAATATGTCGATGTAAAATGCTTCTATATAATCATGCAGTTCGTACCTCATTTAGTAAAGTGAAATATTTAACTAATGGTGAATCTATATTTCATAGTATTATAGCGTCATTGAGCTCTTTCATTTCTAAGAAGTATAGTACAATAATTGGTTGGATCAATATTCATCTAAGGATTCAGTCACAAAATGCCAGTGATAGATTTGGATGTCTTATCTTTACTCTGATGAATTCATTCAGCTTGTAATACTCGGAACCATTTGATGGTGTCTGAAGAAGGTGAAATTCTAAACATGTTCATGTACTAAGGATCTGTCAACCATAATATTTGAAGAAGCACTCGGATAACTCGTGATTAATATCCTTCCCAGCATTACTACTCACTGCTACGACCAACATCCTAATCATCATTAATTTTTTTTTAACATATCGGATTGGGAGATAAACTTACTGATCTAACTACATACGGCAACAGCACGTTAGTGGTTGTCGAACAGAACTTTGCTGAGGAAATATCCTGAATCATGACAGTGGAGTATTTCCTGATATATAGATAAGATCCAAGTATGCATAGTCGTTTGCCGTAACGTAGGTTATACCGTGAGTTACAAAGTGTTTCAGTTGTCGGGAGTTTTTTCGAGTTCGGTAAAGAAATGTAGGTTTGTTTAATTGAATGAGTAGAATGCCGTCCATCAAATGAAGTGTATCGATAAGATACGGTCGACATTCCAAATTCACAAACCTAATAACTAGGAATGTTGTCACGTTACTCCCAATAAATAAACAGGAAAGCGATAAACTGCAACTAGTTGATTTATCACATAAACCTTTTGCCATATGATTAATATGTGATGACATTTCGAAGAGATTAAAACTCATGAAATAATTACCTACAAAAATTCTGGAAGAATATTCAGAATGGTTATATGCACTGGTTGTTGAGAAAAGTAAATTTAATTAAAGTATGGAGTTGGGTTTTAGTCGTCATACATTGAAATGTATTAAAAAGAATATCGCTGTTGAGATCTGTCAGCTTGCTCTTCAGCAGTAAATTTTGTTGGTTGTCGACACGACAGTCTCTTCCCTTGACCTATTTTTTGGTCTCATTTATTCATGATCTTTCTGGTTGGTTGACAAGTTAGATTTATTTCATCAATATAATTATTGGCTGTTTATTGACCTTAGTATCAAGCTTCTAAGAATTATTTGGGTTTTGTGTTTAGGACTTCAACATTTTCCGACAAGCGTATACATTTTAGTATGATTGTGTCACTTATAAACCATCCACCTTACCGCATTTAGTTTATCTGCGAAAATGGAATGCACGTGATACCAAATACAGATTTTCAACAAAGCCTTACCTAGCATATAGTTTTTACGTGTATAAACAACATTGGTTTGAAGTTTTTGTCTGCTGAATAAGGCTATCTGTTTATCGTCGTTATAACGGATTAACTTAAGTTATAGACAATTAATATTACGTTAGAACAATGAGAAGATAGAGTTGATCTGAAAAATGTGATGTATTTAAGCCAATTCGAACAATCTGGTCACACGTACACTTGTTGGGGTATTTTCTATGAAAATTACTAAAGGTCAATTAAATTAAAGTTTAAGTAACAAAGAGGCGAGAAATAATTTCACATCATATAGAAAGAATAAGAAATTGTCGCGTTATCCTAGGCCATAGAACGACCATAGCGCAAATACATCGCATTTTTCAGATCAACTCCGTCTTTTCATTGTTCTATCGAAATTTATAAAAGGAACTAATTGCTTTAAATTAATATTACGTTATTATTTCATATTCCGAACTTTTCGAATTCTAAAGATTATGTAAAGCATTTGTTACCGTATTTTTTGCCTTAAAGTGTAGTTCTTTAATTAAATAAATAGCATTTAGAAAATGACAAGGTTGGTAAACCTCGTTAACCACTGTCATCAATCCAGTGGGGTGTTCTAGAAGAGTCTTTCAAGGTTCTACAACTCAAAAATAGTATTCATGTTCAAACAGTCCTAGACATTCCCAGGCGATAACCATTCGTAATGGTATCTTATCACCCGGTTGAAGAATTCACCCGACGCATGAATAAAACTTTATCTGCTCCTCACAAATTAGCTTTGCCACTCTCTTATAATATAGTGCCATGATTTTACAAACATTCGCTAATGAATATACGGTCTGGAGATGAACATATCCAATACCTTGTTTGGATAATGCAATGTTTTTTAACCAGTCTTCCTTAATCTTTAAAAACAGACATCAGGTTGTTCAAACCAGAGTACGATACCGTCCGTGGTTAGACATCTTCGGTTTAGTATAGTTTCAGTGGCTCGAGCTTTAAAAGGCTACTGATAAATCGTTTATAGATACGATATCACCCACACATTATTTTGATGACTCCTTGATTCTTTCTATTAAGGGCTGGAATAGATAACAATACTTTCCCATAGATATGCCACTTGGACTAATATAGTACATCCCAACTCTATTTTTTCGCCTTAGCACTCTGTCCAAAATGATCAACAGTTCGTAAAGTTGCTGAAAACCATTACTTGTAATCCAAGCGTCTTGTTAAGGTATTAGCGAATTTACTCGGCGTTTTAAATGGGATCAATCCTTCACGGTTTTCAGTGAGTCAGGTGACAGTTAATTCCAAGTTCGGGTGAGCTTGAAGATCATTTGACCACACTGTGTGGATGAAAGGATTCTTCAACCTTTAAAAAAACGAAAGTGAATCTCCTGACTATTAAGAACGGATCGGATTCTAAACAGTTCTGTGAATATCTACTTCATTTGTAGCTGATCTCAACATAATCTTTGGCCTAGACTACGTTTACAACGAGATTACGTAAGGTATCATATTGATTTATCGAATGACTAAATGTTATAAATCTCCTTAGTTTCGATTTAGCTCCTATAGAGAACCAAAACGAAATATTTGGGCTCATATGTTTTTTTTCTATTCCAAGCAGATTTTGAATGTAACATAATTGATTACTTAGACCTAGACTATTATGTTGGATTAATATTCTTGACAAAATTCCATTATTTGTAGACTGATATAAAGTTGCACAAGTCTGCCAAATCAATCCTTACGAAACCTCTTAAATCAGAAAATCCAGAAGATTTTAAACAAAAACGAAAGAATAAAAATCTTTCCAAATTAAAAAAATATAAAAAACGTCAGTTAAAAAAGAAACATTCAAGTAAACAAATAACAAATGAACGAAAAATAATAAAAACATTCAATGAAATACAAGAAGAGGCTTTAAACTATCTAAGAATATGGCATGAAGATTATGAAAACTGGAAATTTAAAAAACTTCTACAATCCTGGTTAATAAAAAATGCACTAAATAGAAAAATGGTGAGTGGATTTATGCTTAGTGTGTGTGTAGCAGTAGCAGGCGATAATGGCAAACAAAAAATACCCCATTTTCTTCTCAGGTATATCTGTGTTTCATTTATCTGTGAAATACATCTCAGATTGTGACTTTCATTTAGTAGATTTTAGGTCAAAGGAGTAGCTTCAATTTTTCCACGTGAGACCTCCCATGGCCGAAGGTGTATTTTAAATGTTGCTGCTCGTCATGAATTCATAAAATATTGTAAATGTATGCGGCTTAGTAATATCGTGTGCTGATTACCTTACTATTATTGTGTTCATCTCTCTATCAGTATGGTAATTGTGATAAATAGTAGGTTATCCTCAAGTTCTTCAATCTAAATTTAGTGCTGAATTATAGTATGCATAAAATCAGCGTAAATATTGAGCGATTCAAGTGTTAGTCATTTCTAGGAACTTCAAAGTAAAATTGTGTCTAAATAATAGATTCTGGAAAATATGACACATCAATCATGTTAAATTCATTTTTCGACATTAACCGATTGTTAAATCATTTTGAGTTCTATAAACACTTTCAATTTTGTTGATAAATTTTCTATTCACTATTGTTTCCTATCAAATAATGCAAATTAAACAGGTTCCCAGTTCGGAGTTCCGAATATTTAAACAGTATATTAAAGGACTAGTTGGATGTGCTCGACAGAATTTATTAAATCAATGCTCAAAGATAATGGAGGAACAAACTGATGGGTTGGAGACATGTACAGAACTTGTAAGTAGAGGAGATATGTCACCGGACAATATTATTGGTCAGCAGAAGTCAGGTATGTTCCGTCGATAATAAATCCAAAGATTATCTAATATTACTATGCATACATATGGTGAGAAATCTTAGGTTGATGCACATTAGTGTTGGGTTCTACATCGTTCATGATTAATTCATACATAGCGTTGGTGGTCCATTAGTTTAGTATCATGCATTTTTAAAATTCAAATCGTCAGTTATGATACCGAATTCTTAAAGTGTGGACATGAACTAAAATGAAAAATGGCAGTGGAACTGTGAGATAGTTAAGTACTAATGATTTTCTTCAAATAGTTTATGTATCTTTGCTCTTATATTCAGAATAAATGATTTGAAAACCGTCTGTAAGGTGCAAATATAACTTGCATAACGCACAATTCTACGCTAAGCTCAGACAAGTGGTTTGTAACTTGAATAATCGTCCACATATTTTCAGATAATGAAAACCACTCTATGCCATTCATGTTCCTTATTGAAGACTCAGTAAGTGTAGTGTGAATTTTTTACCAAGTACGGCCTAACATATTGGGCTTTGAAACCCACCTTGTGGAAGTACTACTGATACTTAGTCATAGATTATTTTAGCATACTATGAGATGAATTTCACCTAGTTTAATGAATTAAAGCTAAATAATAAGATGCCAAAAATAATTTAACCTCATACTTGCACATTTCCATAAATGCTAAATGTAATATTTGACTAAATAGGTTGTTCACTAACCTGGCTGTATTGTTTTTTTTCTCTTTACAGAATATTCAACTGCTAGAAAACGTGCAAAGAAAATATTTGCAGTTTTATCAAAGACTTCTGATGTTCAATAAATTTTTACATAATACTAAGATTTTTAGTGTTATTAAATCCTTTGTATGCATTAACTACTATCGTATACTTCGAAATTATTCATAACATGATGTTACTAAATAAACGTATAGTAGTTCATGACTCTATATACATGTAGGTGAAGCGGTGTCTCAGTAGTTCAAGCGTCCGAACTTTAGCCACTAAGTTGCATGTTTGAAATTCGCTCCACCTATTTCGGCTTAGGCAACCGACTTGTATCACTATTTCTCACGCTTAAAATGCATTCCAAAGCAAAGTCTACAGATTCTCATCTGGTTGATGAGTTAATAATGTGATATCTTGTACAACTATGAAGTACGATGAAAACAAACAAGTAGTTTGGTACGTTTTACAACTCTTAGTAATATGTATTGCTGAAATATGGAGCCAAGTTCTGATTGTGTCAACCTGTTTATCTTTCAAAATCCCCATTCTCTATCAAAGTAAAACTGATTTAAGATGTGACATATCGCATTAAAACAAATTACTACAACGGAGGCACATCTTTCCCTGTGAATAGTATAAAATAAATCTAAACAGGGTTGTTCAATAAACGAAGATTCACTTGGCGCTTTCATATGGCTAATGTAAATCAAGATCATAAATAATCTCTATACCAAGAAACAGTTAGTACTTGTTAAACAACAAAGTGATTTCCATAAATTATAATAGATTTACAAAAGTTTATATCTATGTTTGAAAATGCTAGAAATTTGTAAACAATCATGAAACCACACAATTTGTCGTTTGGATTGCTACTGGAAATCATTGTCCCCAGCTTTTTTAAACTTTATCTTAGTGTTTTTCACCGAACTACTACTTTTATTGATAAGTATAAAATGGAAGCGAATGCACAATGGCAAAAGGTACTTTTTTACAAGGTCTTTGTACAAATCATCGTTGACTCCTCCTCATGAGTACATTTCTTCTGCTTCTAGCCATACGCGCTTTGATTCGTTCACGTGAAATTTCTGCTCCTTCTTTAGCTAGGTTTCGTAGACGATCATTTTCTTGTACTTGTGGTGCTTTTCCTTTCAATCGAAGGTAACGTACTAGATACCTGGTTAATATGAGTGTCAAACCGTAGCGTAATGGTACTGCCAGTTTGTAGAATACAATGGCTGTAGCCAGAGTATTCACAGTACCCCCACCTAAATGGAGGGGTTTACTTAGCCATCCAGGTGCGTTGAGACTGTGAAGAATATCCAGCAAATTGATCCCACTGTAAGCAAAACAGTGCAAAAAGAGGATTTTTTATCAGTAATATCAATCCAACTAACTAAATAAAAGGTTTAGTACTTGTATTTGGGACGTATTTACGTCCACTACGGGATTTGAATCGACAACTGCATCTCTGTGCTAATGTGGTATGGCAACTCGAACTGATGTGCGTACGCACGTACGAAGTTCTACGTTGTTACTGACTATTTACGTAAAGTTTACAGGTGTCATTCAGTTACATAAACCAAAATATATTAAGTGAAGTCTGAACAAGTGACGCATTGATATTTGCATCTCAGTTATCGTTATCTTTAGGTCTTAAACTAGCATTGTAGTCTGTAACAAACAGTTCTAAATGGCTTTTGAAATCCAATAAATTTTGGGTTGGTTGGTATGGCCATTCTTTAATACCTGACAGAGTGGATGTTGTCAATCAAGTCGTAATATGACTTTCAGCCTTTTCTAACTCATGTTGAAGGATGGGTTATGATTTTGCCTTTACAAATGTGCTTTGAACTTTTAAAATGTGTGCAACTCTCATAAGACCTAAATAAGTAACTATCAGGATCATCATATTAGGTGCATAAAACACGGATGTGAATAAGTGATATAAATGTAAAAATACAAATCGAGGAACTTGAAGCTTTAAAAGTCTATAGTTAGATCAAGTACATCACATGAATTTCGCAGCACTACTTTACAAAGAAGGAACCTGGGGGTGAACACCCAGTTGACGGATACTAACTTGACGTGGTGGTTAAATCTGTATACTAAGGAGTCCCACAGATTGGAGCGCTTATCACTAGCTTAAGTTCTCCCACTCGAGACGTTTCTTAAAAGTAATAAGAAGTTTGTAAATAAAAGTAATATATTTGTAATATTCCAATGAGTAGAAAAATTAAATTCTCGAACGTTTCGTAACTCAGTGTAAGCCACTTGTTCAGAGAATAAATAACCGAATTTGTCATTTGCACCAGTCAAAATATCATCTTTTATGGAATATAGAAGTGCTTCTCATCCATATGCCTACCAAACAAACAAATACTCTTTTGTTCGTCGACGACCTTTCTCATTTTGTTCGTTTTATCTATACATCTCAATGATGTTATCACAAATTTTACTTCTAACGATTACGACTTGAAATACCATTTCCAGTCTATCAATCCCATACTGCGAAATACACTGAGGCTTTAAACATCAAAACTGGTATATTTAGCCGTAGATGCATGTTATCTTGGAGACATACAAGATCTATGTTACGTTTATCAATTTAAACCTAATATATGTTTGCAATCTGCTTCATGGGATTCTAAGGTCTTATTGTGTGCTTCTTAGAAGCTAACGCAGTGAAAATACAGACGTACGGAATAGAAAATACTACATATAATTCATAATAATTAAATCTCGACTTGCAAAATGCATCTAATGGTTCGTGGAAAGAAAGGTATAAAGCAATTTTAATCTCATGGTTTAAAGGAAGATAAAGAGTGTATACACCTACGCCATTGTAATCGATTCTGAGCTACGTCGATCACAATTGTGTAGGTAGATACACTCTTTGTCTTCCTTTAAATCGTGAGATCAAAATTGCTTTATAACTTCCTTCCTATGAATTAATTCTTTCTTCCTGTATTGTATCCTTATACGCATTCCTTCTATATATTACCACTAAAGTAACTACTATGATTTTGGTGATCGTCTTGTTGTGCTAATGAGGTATGGCAACTTGGACCGATGCATATATGTGTCTATTCCTACACTGTAGCTGACTCACTGATCTAATGGTTTCGTCTTACAAAATAATTGAGTTATGATAAAAGACAGGAACGCGATGGAAAGTTTGCACCACGGAAAAATAAATGGATTAAGTTGTAAACTTACACCGACTGAGTCAACTGAAGCACCTTTTCGTGCACAATTTTAACTGACTTACGATTAAAATAGACAAAAGTGGAGTAGTTAAATGATTTTCCATACTAGTTAGCTACAAAAACCAGTTACGAATCCACATCTCGTATTTGGAGGGAATCGCATCCCGAACATGTTTGTATTGTTGCTTAAAGTAGTTAGAAGGCTAAATTTTGTCAATAGAGTAAACCCTTTAGTGTTTCAGTGCAAATCTCAAGTGTTCATTTATCTGTGGTTTAAAACGACTGGTGATCAATACAAGTCGAAGATATGTTTCTCATATCTAAGTAAAATTAGACGGTCACTCTCAAATAAGTAAGCATTAAATGTACCAGTTTCCCATGTTTGTACATATTGTTTCTCACATCATATTACGGATTTGATAGATGATGATTACGAACCACTCAATTTTGATACTTTCAAGGGCTTTGTGTAGTGTTATCTGTATCTGGAAAAGAATTCAATTTCGAAATTTATCCAATAATCCTCAACTCACTTTGACGAAAAAAATCGGAACACTGAGTGTGAAAACTGACCTCACGCAACGTTTCGGCGAGACTCTAATTTAGCGACGAGCCAATCAGAAGCGTCTGAGCAATTTCAAGGTCACGGAGCCAAGTTCAACACGCGATGCTAACATACGGTCGGTTCACAGCGGATTTTAGAGAGGAGGTGATTAATGAGAGGTTAAAACAGATGGGACGGCGAAACTCTAATTTAGGGACGAGCCAGTGAGAAGCGTTTGAGCAATTTCAATTATTAGCCAATCAGAAGACAGTATAAAGTAAAAATATATTACAAGAAAGTAATGAATTACAGTGGATATTCTTCTTTTACATGATTTAAAAACTTGTTGAGGTTTGATAAAGGTTCAGAAGCTCTGAATTCATAATGCATATTGTATAGAAACTCGTCCATAGGGTTAGGGTTAGATTAGGGTTTAGGGCTAAGGTTAGTGTTTAGGGTTAGGTTAAGGTTAGGGTTTAGGTTTATGGTTAGGGTTAGATTAGGGTTTAGGGCTAAGGTTAGGGTTTAGGGTTAGATTAGGGTTAGGTTAAGGTTAGGGTTAGATTAGGGTTAGGTTAAGGTTAGGGTTAGAGTAGGGTTTAGGGTTAGGTTAAGGTTAGGGTGCTAACATGCGATCGGTTTACATCGGATTTTAGAGAAGAGATGTGTATTGACAGGCTACAACCCTAACCACTAACCCTATAGACGAGTTTCTACACAATATGCATTATGAATTGAGAGCCTCTGAACCTTCATCAAACCTTAACAAGTTTTTAAATCATGTAAAAGAAGAATATCCACTGTAGTTCATTACTTACAATATATTCTCACTTTATACTAACTGTCTTCTGATTGGCTAATAATTGTCAAGGTCATTTAAGATTCGTTCAAAGGTCGTCGCTAAATTAGAGTCTCGCCGATTATTCAACATAAAACAGATGGAAAAGTCAAGTAATCCTACATCTACAACTGATGCCACAAAACTTTAGGCGTCCACAGCATTCTTGGTTTTTAGGCACGTGCGTTATCCTTAATATACAATAAACTTGTCAATCTATGTACTAATAAGTTATAATATTTCAGACAGACATGTAGATAAGGCGTACTAGTAGATAAACCATATCAGTCAATTGACTTTAAAGAAACGGAGCTTTATAAATTCTGAAAATTGCACCAAATGATGAGCAGCTCTATGACTCAACATAATTTATACTAGTTGCGGGTTGATAGAGATACTACTATTATTAGATGTATAACAAGGAAAAAAAGAAAGATCTTACGTGCAAGCCAGTGAATAAAACATTCCAAACCACAAACATGACGTCACACCATGAGTTACCAAGACAACTTTCCCGTAAATTGCATAGGCATCCTTGAATCTTTTGATCAGACTAGATTTCCTTTCGTCCAAGTCATTTCCATCTTTTTCGTTCACATTTGATGGGACATTGTTCTTTGATTCAGTAGAAAACTGTGAAAAATTTTTCAAGCCGAAAGAAATTTTAGGATAGTTGAGAGGGCGTGAATCTTTTGAGAATAGAGAATAATGTATCTGGTCGCAACGAACAGAAGGAAATTTCGAATCATTTCCACAGATAGGCGTTGATGCAGTTCGATGAGTACGAAAATTTGCAAATATAGAATGATTTGATGCGACATAGTGTCGTAAACCGAAGATTAAGGTTTTATTCATGATATTCGGGCACTAATTACTATATATATCTGCTAATACATGACGGATAGTGTTTCCATCAAGGTCATTGTTGATTTTTGAATTCATTCGCTTCAGCATACAATATCTACGACTCAGTCAAATGGTTCAAATGGTTGTGGATGGAATAGAAGCTTTTGCTTAACAGGCTTCCGCGTCTAGTAGCAATGGATCACTAATATCTACAGACAGGAACCTATGTATATTATTGATAATAGAGGGAAAAGAAATTGGTAAATTATTGTAAGATATTATCCTTAGTCTTTAAGAATAGGTCAAAATGCCTCTTAAAAGAACTCCTGGAAAGTTCAGTCGGCAGAGTACTCCAGCATTTGACAACTCTTAGGGAGTAGAAGTTGTGTCCACAGTCCATTCCGCCATGTTGTGTCTCCAGTTTCTGGGTGTTACTCCTTAGGTTTGTGTTGGGGCTCAACTTGAGTAGGTGTTCAAGGGGATGTCCATAATTGTTAAGGGTACTGTAGGCCATTACGATATCACCCCTAAAGCGTCTATACTCTAGCAAGTGATTGAAAGAGCTCTTCATAAGGCTTGAATTTGAGTCCCCGAACTGATTTCATGGCTCGCCGTTGGAGACGCTCCAGAGTATCATTATATTTTTGGAGTGTAGGAGAAAATACTATGTTTCCGTACTCTAAATTGGGACGGATGAAGCTGTTGAAGATTATGTGGAATGTTCTTCCGTCAAACTGGCCAAAAATACGCTTCAATGTTACCAGAGCATGGTTTGCTCGAAGGGCATTTTTGTCATAGTTAGCGTAAGACTTCAACTCGTAGGGTAACAGGAAATTAAATCTTCTTCAACTTGGGATACTTCTAGAGAGGAGCTTCTTGAGTTGTAACTGTAGTCTGCAACATTTTCCATATTGACTACTTTACAATTTCAAGTGTTCAAGTTTAGTCCGTTGTCACCTGTCGAAATTTGATGTCGAGTCGGATCCTCCTGAAGTGCCTGTATATTCTTTTAGTTGCGTATCTCTCTCTTCAAAGTTTCACATCATCAGCCAAAAGCAATTAGTCAGACGATACCTGTCATGAAAGATCGTTTATATAAATCAAGAAGAGAAGAGATCCTAGTACTGAGCCCTGGGCGACCCCATTAGGACATTCCACAGCCTGAGATAAAGTGAACTTAACCCTCACCTTAAAATGTCGATTTGTTAAACATGAAGTGAACCAATCAATTAGAGGTGATTTGATACTCAACCGTTTGAGCTTATTGATAAGACCCATATTGCTGACCCTGTCAAAAGCTTTCCAGAAGTCAAGGTAAATGGCGTCAACCTTCCGCTTGTGATCAAGTATGGTTGTCCATCTGTCCACCGCATTCAGCAGGTCGATTATACAAGAATATCCCTTCCTGAAACCATGCTGTTGAGGTAAGAAGAAATATAAGGACAGTAAATAGTCATGTATACCATCGCATATAAGGGACTCCATAATTTTTGAAGGTATAGAGAGTACAGCCACCGATCCGTAGCTTGAATTCTCTCTGCGTCGACCTCCTTTGAAAATCGGTGTAATGTGAGCCAGCTTCCAAAATTTCGGTGATACGCCTGGGCTTAGAGAATGTGAGAACATCACGCTAAGCAATGCTGTCAGGATTGAAGCTGCTTTCTTCAATATATCAGAACGAACCAAATTCGGGCCCGGAGATGTGTCTTTTCTTAGGTGCATCGTTTCCGGAACACCAAGTCAGCTCTCAGGTTCACTTCGGAAAGTCCTGGGCAGCTGCAGATGAAGATTTAATCAATACATTTAGTGTGGGTCGGTTGAAATGTCCGAGGGCATTGTTCGGCTGGAAGGTTAGCGGCGTCACCGTCGTTGTCTGTCGAGCCACTGGGACCCAGCAGTTGGGATACTCCAGTTTTGGTTTGACGAATTGAAGCTGCATAACGGAATAAACTTTACAGATTGGAGACAAATTTATCGATGAGCTTTATCTGTTGCTGTAGCCTCTCTTCTCTCACCGCTTTTGTGCATATTTTCAGTATACGTTTGTATTGCCTGTATGCGCCATTGTTATCAGTTCGTTCGCATTCTGCCCAACAGTATCTTTTGCGGCTTAGCAAATAAAGAGTGCGGTTCTTGATGATTGTAGGTTCCTTGTAGCTATTGGGGACCATTTGAGGGACTGACTGCCTTGTAGCACATAAGGCTGTATGCAATAAAAAATCCCACTGAGCGTCCACATCAGGTTGAGGGTGAACATCCCGATCCACCTGTTGTAGATAGTCCTGTAGAGCTGACACATTCAACCGTTTGAAATTCCAGCGCCCGTCGTTGATGGGGTATCTTAGCTCAGTTTTGCTGACAAAACTGAAGGCTATAACGGCGTGATCGCTTTTTCCCAGGGGAGCCAGGATTGAGAGATTGTCAACTAGGAATTATTCGTTTGTAGATACCCAGTCTAAGCGCGATGGCGTCTGACTGTTTCCCCAACGAATTGACGACTTCACATTTTCGTATAATCTCAGATCTTCAATGAAAATGAAGAACCGAGCTTTAGTTGAGTTTTCATCTCCAATATACGTATGTTCCGCGAAATTGACTTTAGGTAGATTGAAGTCCTCTAGAATCAGGATGTGAGTGGATCCGATTTGCGTGGAGCAGGATAATCCTTCCAGCATACAATTGTTGTACTCTATATCATCAATGAGCTTGCTATAGATGACCCCAAATATACACCTCTGAGGAGTTAACAATCTTACTGAGCACCATACGGACTATTTAAAACTGATAAACTCTTGGTTGTGAACTTGGTGTATCTCCAGACATGATCGTATGAAGTGGCATGACCCTTAACCACACAATCATAAAAGTTGAACATGAGACAATTGGCGAAATGGATATTCAACATTTAATGCGGAGAAAAACCGGCAATGGGGAAGGCAGGAAGAATTAATTGAATTAGTTCGAATTGATCGGATGACATGGCTCTACCTTGCAGGTGTGGTCGTTAGTGAGTGTTAACATATACCTTTTATTCAAATTAAATATATGGTTCTTTCTCTAGCCTAAGTGTGTTCTTCATCATATACTGATTACTGTTGCAACGCGATGAGTTGATGTAGATAATAATGTAAGTTCCACGTAAGATCTTATAAGTCAGGCAGTTACATCATAACGAATCTACAACTCTAAGATTAAGTCTATTATTAGAGTGATACTAATATCATAGTAGACCATAATTCTACAATGGTAAGCCCGACTAAGTGAACACAAACTATTATTGTTAATCCATATTTTCTCTTTAACTTTCTCGATCGATTTTTACTTATGTTAACCATTATTCTGTTAGTCTTCTGATTAATGCTTACATGTATTCTCGTAATGTTATATTGATTAATACTCATAACATACTATTTCAGTTGATACTAATTACCGGCCGTTTATGTTAATTAGGTTTGATGGTTAATCAACAAGCTTTAATAGCACTTACATGCTTCAGTTAAATAAACTTGTTAAAACATCAAGTTATAGCAAATATGACCTGTAAGTAACGTAAATATATATTGACTAGCGATGTAAGCAAAGACAGAGTAGTTATCTGAACCTAATTTTTTATATTCCTACTTCACTGAACGTTGCAATATGTTTTAACCGCGTGAACTTCTCCTTCCTGTTTGTCTGTATGAGCGTCATGTGCATGGACAGTTAGTCTACCCATAGAAGGTTTTCCGAGTTGATAGCCCCCGTCGACATTCGAAGGAGGGAGGGTGGAGTTATTGACCAGCAAGCATTGATGGTGAGGGCGATGACTTCAATCCACCCGTGTTTGTGGGGTACAGCATTTTGTATGTATGAGGCTCTTTATGATTGAGAATAAGTCAATCAATCTGTGATATAGATTGTCCTCCTACGCTCACCACTCAGACTCACGTTTCCAATTTTATGCTGGATTAGCTATTCTACTAAGACAACTTTTAACATGCTAACTCGGATTTTTACACTAGGATTGTGTGGCTGATATCGGATGGACAAAAAAGAAAAGAAAGAAAAAAATTAGACAACAAAAGATATAGTCACTAGAATTCTTAACACCTCACAATATACACACTCCCTTCTAATGAACTGCTTTTTTTGTACCAACCTTGACTTTCATTCCTACATTTGAGCTTACTCCAACTTGTTGAACGACACAACTCATTGTTCTTTATTGCTACATTCTCTAATATGGAGCTGTAGTGGCATTGGACAATAGCCACACAATCCACAAAGCTGTGAACACGAGACTACTCAGAAAATAGATATTCAATATTTAACGCGGAGAAATACCTAAAAATGGAGAAGGCGCGAACAATGAATTGAATGGACTGGAGTTGATCGAGTGGCATGGCTCGGCCATGCAGGCGTGGTCTCTATTCATATTAAATATATTGTTCCTTCTCTAAACTAACCTTGTTCTTCATCATGTATTGGTAATTGATACGATACAGTGAGTTGGCGTAGTCGATGGTGTGACTTCCACGTAAGATCTTATAGATTAGGCAGTTATATCATGACGAATCTACAAATTTAGGATTAGGTCTATTATTAGAGCAGTACTAATATCGTAGTAGACCATAGTTCTACATTGGTGAGCCCAACTAAAGAAACGCAACCTATTATTATTAATCCTTATTTCCACTTCAACTTTCTCGATCGATTTTATATTTATGTTAACCCTGTATTCTAATAGTCCTCTGATTAATGCTCACATGCATTATCGTAATGTTATATTGATTAGTCCTCATGACAAACTAGCTCAATCGATAATAAAAACTGGTCGTCTATATTAACTAATTAGCTTTGATGATTTGTTAACAAGCTGTAATAGCATTTACATGCTTCAGCGACATAGTCTTGTTTAAACATCAAGCTCTAGCAAATATGACCTGTAAATAGCGTAAATATACATTGACTAACAATGCGATCAAGGACTAAATAGTTATCTGGATCTAATTCTCAGTGTTCCTTCACTTAACACCTCATCCTGTTTTAAACGATGCACTATCCTGTAATATCTTTTCTTCCGACCACTGCCTGCCTAATTTCATATTCTCGAGTTCCATTGCCAAACAACGAGGATGACTACTCCAAAAACATACG